TGAAGTCTTTCATGTTGAATCATCTCTTTGTCAGAATGTTCATTGAGGTCGTGCCCAAGAAACACAGGAGATGATGTCGAACTAGTGCAGTAACTGTATAATCCTTCTTAGTGGAACGTTTTCTAATCATGAAATGATCCCACAAGTGGAAAATACATTTTTGTTTCAAACAGCAGATCACAAAGCAAAGCACAATATGCAGAAAAGGGGGGCATGAGAGTCATAATGGCCATCTCCTCCTGAAAGAAAAGGCAGAAGGGCTAGCTAAGTGCCACCAAAAGGCAAACAGGAATTGATGGACCCTTAGCGTGCAACAGGAGAGCTGAAAGCCGGGGGGGGGAGTAAAATACCTCTGGCAGTTCTGGAACACTGAACCTAAACTAGATTTCTACAAAATTGACAGAGATTTGTGCTAAATGCAGGAGTCACTGGACCAGGCCCACAATGCTTTTGCTCAGAACAATAATGTGCTCAAAAGCTCGTTCATTTCAGATTCACTCTAGTGTCATTCTACTAATTTCAATAAAGCAATTTTCAATCAGCAATAAAGTATAACCACTTTATATTAATATAGATTTGACTAGCTAGCTTTCAGGATCTCTCTGTTTCTAGGAAGGTCTAAACCACTTCCATTTTCTTTCCTTAGGCATCCTTTCAAACCTAATTCATATCTGACAAATGAGACAAGAAATCAATAGTATGTAGTATATACTGTATAATGACCTGGAAAGTTCTTAAAATAGCTGTGCTTGCTTCAGAATAGGTATTCAGTATTTGGTATACAATTATTTGGCACTGTTACACTTGGCCAAGTTCCACTGAAAATACAGTTCTGTAAACCAGAGGCAGACCAAATGGGATGAATCTGTGCGCTCATGTTATTTTTAAGTTGCCTCACATAACACACAGTCATCTACAAATCAGGTTTTACTTTGACCTTTCCCATCGTATTTAGGAAAGCATGAATGGTGCAATATTGAAAGCTGGAACTGTTCAATGCCGACAAATATAAAGATTGTATAATGTGCGTGTATGATATGCTGCACACATCCCCACATCTATGCCCTCCAGGAGATTTTAGTGCAAGACAGCAGTTTGAGTTTCTCAGGTTTTCATAGGCTTTCTTACCTCTGCCTTGGCATGCGGATGAGTGGTTGTTTATGGCATCTCTTACTAAGGCCAAAAAGCTTGTGAACAGTTTTCTGTGCCTTGAGGAAGAGTTGTTTCATGCTGTTTTCTAGTTGCTCATAGCGGCGTTGAAAATTAGAATCCATTGTCCACAAATGCATTACAGTAGATGTGTTCAGGAAATAATTGATGGGCAGCCTTTTCATAAATAATTTGAATTCATCTGGAAAAAAAAAAAAAGCTTTAATTGTGTAGTTATGGGTATTGTTACAGCAAAAAATAACTTTTAATTTGTTTTTTCTTAACTATTTTTTTCAAACTTGAATTTTTGCAATTTTAGAATTGAACATTTTAACTCTTTCAAAGTAGAATGGTAACTACATTTTTAGTGGCAATATTAGAATAAAGCCAGCAAAAGTCAAGATTTATATGTTCATTAAATTGATGTTAAAAGGAAATACAAGCATTGTCATTATTTATCAACAAGAAGACTATAAATACTAAATAAAAATCAGTGTTTCTTACCTTCAAATCTAGGATCTGAAAGTAAATATACATTTAAAGATCAATGTATATTCACTCATTTGGAGGAGACAGGAAATTGTCTTAAAAGGAGTATATTCCAATATTTAGGAAATGCAAGTAAGTATGATTTTACAGGCCAGCTCTCTTTTAGACATGTTATTTCACCTGAGACAAGCCATTAAGGGTCAGACTTTCAAAACTATTTAGAATTGAAATGGAGCCTTAAAAAAGCGTTTTACGGTACGTTGACACTTCAAAAATGTCTCCCATAACTTCTTTTTGACTCATGTCCCCATCTCCTAAGTGATAAAAATGACTTCTTAAATCACGGGATCACTGTTATTGTGCGCATCCTATGCTTTGTCATTTGTTCTGGTAGCTCAGTCCATATGAGGTACATGGACTGAATCTTATTAACTGAATTTTATTAATCAGTGAGTCTATTTTCATAAGTAGGATAATTTACAAGTTGATTTATAAGTTTTGAACCTAAATAAACCTCCATTGAAGAGAGCTCTAATTACTGGGGAAAAAATGAGAAAATGAGTACCACACTTGAATGCACATTTATCCTTTCTCTTTCTTATTTCCATATATCAGAATGTTTTCCTGTCTGCCCTCCTGCCTGCTGCTATCCTCCCACCCTTCACAATCCATTTTTTTTCTTTCAGCTTGTTCCTGCAGTAAAGTCACTTATCCAACTGTTTGGCTTTCACCCTGCCAGATGCTCCTTTTGGGTAGTCTACACTTCAGCAGACTATGTTAATGCAATGGTCCAGATGACTGAAGTAACCTCCTGCTTAAAACTGGAGTTAATCATAATATTTAATGTTGTTATAATTTTAGGTTGCTCATGGGAGAGGGTTGATTGGGGAAAATGCTCACACGAAAAAATACTCCATTACCATGGTTGTTTGCAAGTCTTTTGGTTTTAGCTTTAGCTTCAGTTTAGCTTTTTAACATTTTTATATAAAAAGGGGGAAAATATTTTCTTTTTTATGGACAGAGAGCAAAGATCTTTTCAGAATGAGCCAGAGTGACCCTCGTCCACATCCTGAGGGGCGTGGGTCCATGATGAAATAGAACAGCCATATTTTGACATAGTATTTTCTGTGATGGATTAAGATTCATCAGAAGATAAGAGGCATTGAAAGGTTTTCTGGAAGGTAAAAAAATTAAATGCAAGGGGCAAAGAGGATGATTTTCTATTTAATAAAATGGTTTTAATAATTCATCTGGGACCTCCTTGGCAATGTGTTATTCATTTTCTCCTCATGCCTTCCTCTTTGGGTATTAGTTGTCCACTATTGTCCCCCTGAGGACAGCACTGATGCTCCTCTGCTGTCTCTGCCTACTAATTAAGGCACTGAGAAAAGGAACTGTTTCTTTGTTTTTTCAAGTATTAGGGGCCTCTTATCCTTTGCTTTTTCCCTTCCCTAATTTTGTCTAAGTTGATTCTTTTCCTCTGTCCAAAAAGAGTAACTATCTGTTCCTGGGTATCCTCATTTTGGCTGAGACAGTTAGTTTTTCTTACTAGAAGTCCGTATAGTACTGTGGTTTGGATTTAGTATGAGA